GAATTTCAAACACTCTACAGAGAAGAAGACAAACTAGAAAGTTAAGACCTCTAATGGCTTGGCTTGACAGGTATTCTTCTTTAACAAGTATTTATAAAAACACTCTAGGCCCCCAGGTGTTACAGAGGTTAAGGGCTGGAACCCTCATGTCCATTTCTACAGTTAAAGTCCTGGACCTGGTGGCTTGAAAATCATGCCAGGTGCATGTACATGCATGCCCAGAGTCCTGAAAGGAGACATGGAGAAGGGGTTGAGGCATGGCCATCCAACCTGGGAGTGATTTTTCACTTTCCCTTTCTCTGGCAAGTGTACAAACTCTCTAGCAAAAACTAAAAACAAACAAAAAACCAAAACAGCATTCTGGCTCTCCCTCTCAGAGGTGACAAAATACATGCAGGCAAGTGTATTTATCCAAGTGTTCATGTATTTTCTGATTCCTTACAGATTATACCGAAAAGATGTTCTGCAGAAGTTAATAGAAAAATGTGTTTCTAAAGGCTATGTCTTCCAGATGGAGATGATTGTTCGGGCAAGACAATTGAATTACACTATTGGCGAGGTATGTAACTGATGCTAAATAGAATGAGGGGTGGGCTAAACCCACAGCCTAGTAGTTACAGGAGCCAGATCTCACATGCCTGACCCTGATTTGAATTCTAGCCCCAGCAGCTTGAAAAATAACAGACACATGCTCACCCAAGATCCCAGCAGGATGGATAGAGAGGAAGAAGTTGCAGCATGGCCACGCCACATTGTGGAATGCTTTTTCCTTTCTCTCTGTCTCTGTCCTCTGGTGAGCACATGCACACTCTGCCAAGTTAAAAAATAAAATAAAATAACATGAGGGAACTTCCAAAAGCTCATGAAAATGCAGTGAAAGTATATTTGGGGGCAAAATTTTGAAATCCATAATAGATACCTCAAAATATGCATTTTCTACTAACTTTTTACAGATACCTCCTATATCAGATTCTTTGTAAAGTATCAGTTAAGATTTAAACTTTTATAACTACTGAGTGTTTACAGCACTCAGTAATGGCCATGCACCAAAGAGAAAATTCACATCCCTATCAAATTAATATATTTGACCTATCAAGATTTAAAACATTAGCAAGAAGGCAGCATTCCTTTTTAAGAAAGTTACTGATACCTTCTCCATCCTAGCCCCTTCTTCTGACCAGTAAACATTATGGGGTGAGTCTCTTTGCTGCTTTTCCTCTTACCAGAGTCAACAACCAATACTTAATATTTTGAAATGAATGCCGAATCCTGGGACCACCAGATGATGTAATGGTTATGTCACTGAATTCGCACGTAGTTGACTGCAGTTCAAATCCTGGACCCGGCAGCTTAAAGTTCATGCTGGGCATGTGTTTCTGTGTGCCCAAGATCCCAAGGGAAGAATAGAGGAGAAGGAATTGTGGTGTGGCCATCCCCCCAGAGGGTGATTTCTTACTTTCTGTCTCTATCTCCTGCAAGCGCGCGTGTGCACTCAAACACACACACTAGCAAAAATCTCTCTCTAGAAAGACAAATGAACGGCAAAGTCCCAATGTCCATTGACATGAAATGAGTAAATCAAAATGCCCAGAAATCATAGACCAAGAGGCTAGAGGAACCTTATAGTTTGGGCTGGTTAGTGGAGTCTTGGGGGAAGACTATCCTCATTTAACACTAAAACGCTTACTCAGTAGGAAAACAGCTTCTCTTGTGGAAGTTCTAAAGTTTTTAAAACACCATGATAGTTAAATTTGACAAACTGCTGAAAAAATTAAGTGAAAGATCTTTTTTTAATAAATGCACATTTAGCTTAATTTTAAAGACTTAGATACACATGATTGCTTTTATAATTCCCAGTTCTGAACTCGAAGAACTTCCATTTTAGGACTAATTCCATTTCTGTTGTATCACTAGTGGTCGTAATACCTGCTATGCTTCCATTCTAATATTTTTGAAGACTGACTGTAACATATATTTTTTTAAACTAGGTTCCAATATCATTTGTGGATCGTGTTTATGGTGAATCCAAGTTGGGAGGAAATGAAATAGTCTCTTTCTTGAAAGGATTATTGACTCTCTTTGCTACTACATAAAATAAATTCATTCATACTAACGTTTATTTCAATTTAAATATAAAAGAAGCCTGATTACTGCTTTTTGAAAAAATGTATGCTTAGAGTATAAACCATAAGGTAAGGTTAATTTCATGCAAAGTTTTTTTCTGAAGAAATTCCATTTTATATTTCAAATTAAATAATTTTAAAGTTACTGGTTTAATGAGCAGTGTTCTCAATCTTCTTTTACATTTGCTGTATTAAGACCTATAAATAAATGTATATGGGTTTTGTGGTATAAAATCCTTCTGCTTTCATTAGAATATGTAGACACAGAATTTCTTATGTAAGGGAGACATGAGGTAGTCTTTATAAAAACATTATTCAGGGGCCACCAGGTGGCGTGCTTAAGGCGCTGGACTCCCACATGGCTAACTATGGTTTGAGCCCCATACCCAGTGGCTTGAAAATCATGCTGGTTTTGTGTACTTGTACCCAAAATCCCAAGAGAAGAATGGAGGAGAAGGAATTATGGTGTGGCCATCCTCCCTGGGGGGTGATTTCTCACTTTCCCCCTCTCTACCTGCTTGGTGTGTGTAGGCACCATATGGCAAAAACCTTAAACAAACAAAAAACAGGGTTCATGCCTCTTTATACCTAATAGAGAAAAGTTAAATATCAATTACATTCATGAAATGCATACCTGTTTCTGAATGGGAGAAACAAACACCTCTGCCCTTTCCTTAAAAACATATTTCTCAGACCAGCAAATGGCACAGTGGTTGTGTCGCTGGACTCCCACGTGGCCAGTCCCAAACCCGGTGACTTGAAATTCTGGGTGTGTGTGCCCAAGATCTCAGGAAGAGAAAGGATTGCAGTGTGGCCATATCCCCCACTCCCTGGGGGGTGATTTTTCACTTTCCCTCTCACTATCTCCCCCTACCTCCGCCCCCTGTGCACACACCCTAAGTCAAAAAAAACAAAAAAAATCTTAAAAAGGGAAAAGAAAAACTCCACTTACGTGAACCAAAAAGACAATACATTTAGAGGAGAATTTAGAGTTGTTCTTGTCAGCTGTTCACTTGCTGAAGTATTTTGTGTACCAAAGTAAGTTTACTTAAAATATATATTGTGAATTGGAAAACAGCTTGGCAGCTGTTGATTGCAGAGCTGGGTTTTTTTTTTTTCTTTTAAGTAATCTCTTTTAAGTAATATAGATAACATTGAGATACACACTTAACTGCTATAGTAACTATTAAACATCTTGCTGAATTACTTATGTATTTTTTCTTGACACATTTGTTTTCATGTTATTTCAAGACCCTCAGCAAGTTTCAGTCTTTACTGATATGACAAAAACCTCTTCCTATAGCTCTTCTCTATTCAGAAAAGCGTTCTGCCAGTTAAGATGCAGGCTAGGTGTTCAGTAAAGCCAGGGCAAATGTTCTGTTTACCAACTGCCTCTAATGTAGTTATTTCAAAAAATATCAAATAACTTCCTACTGTAGCATAGCTTTTGGATCATGCAGAATCTTTTAAATTTAGTAAGGAAATATCTGAGCACATAAGCTTAAGATCAGGTTGACTTTCCTTTGCAAGTAAATGGAAGGAGATGTGTTGAAATTATTAAATAAGTATATCCAGTGAACAATATTTCTAATTACTATATTGTCCTGGCTTAACTGGGCTGCTAAAGAAATTAAAAGTCTTGATTTTTCATTTACATTTCTCTCTGATAAAGGCCACCAGAAATCAGTACCAGGTTATTAACCTTCGGTGTCATCTTGAATACTGAAGTATCTCCCCTACTCCCACAATGAACCCATAGTACATATTCCAAAAGGGCCATTACTAATGGTTTCCTTTTGCCCAGTGCTACTCAGCTGGCCCACCAGGGGCCTACCCACACTGGGAAGTGACTTCTTTCATCTTTAATAATAACTGCAAAATTCATCAGTGCTTGCTATAAAATTGGTTTTAAGTTTAAATGATGGAAATGTAATGTTCTCAATATTCTTTGAGTGGTTACTGTTTTGGAGTTTTACACTCTAACCTAAACTCAGAATAAAGTTTTCAGATATTTGGAGCTAAAATTAAGTAACCACCGTGGAGAACCTGCTGTAGAGATAGTACTGCCTTCTCATATCTCACTAAGTGGGAAATTTTTGCATTTTTAAACTTTTCTTATTACCACAATCATTATGACACTATCATTATTGGAATTTACAGTAAAGGGAGTATTTGGCATTCAATACCCTTGCGCCATTTGGAAGTCATTCAGAAAAGAATCTAGACTATTTAGATGAATTTTTTGTAATAAACCTGGTGACTTAAACACTAAAGTCTTTTAAAACATTTACATTTGAATCTAGCATATCTCTTGGCTTCACAAATGAGGCTAAGGATGAAATCCAGATGTTTTCCCTTTATATTTCTATTATCACTGTATGAAATCTAAGTATTATCTAAGGAAAACTAAAGATAAGATAAACTTATTTGGCATATTTCACACTAGATTTTGCCTGTCTTTGCAGTAATTAGATTCTTTACAACTTTTTCACCTATTGTATTTCCTTGAGCTGCCGATTTGATTTTAAAGATGTTTTATCAGGGTTGCAGAAATTAACATATGTGTTGGGTAAAATTTTGTTAAACTGGCTAGCTAAAGTCTTTCACATTAAGCCTTTTATATGTAAACACAATTTATACTACATGCAGTTAAGTCATACTCTCTTTGGATGTTAAGTATGGTTTGAAACTATTTTAATTTGAAATTTAAAGAAACAACAAGACAGGTGTTATTTAGTGATCACATATTAATGGACTTGGTTGATCCTTCATGATTGTCATTAATTTCCAATACATCTAGCCAGTGACATACTTTCAGATGGTGAGTTCAAACAATGTTGGGGAAATAATGTATTGTTTAGGATTAACCTAAATGTGCAAAGCAAACTCTTTCCACATGCTTTGTATGCAGTCCAGATTGTGACAGCACTAAAAGTTTGCCCAGGACAACAACAAAGTGGGTTTTAAGGATCTTGTGAAGGCCTGTTGGAAACATCATTTCTCATCATTAGTCTTCACCAGTCCGGTGGCCTCAAAACGCTAGGGACCTCATGTGTTTTCTTCGGGCCAAAGAGCCCATCACTCTGACTTGGGAGTCGTCCAGTCCCAGGCCAAGGAGTGCCTTCTGTAAACAGCCTTGTCCACCGAAATCCCTACCCCACCAGGAAGGGTTCAGGCATCCGTGGGGTAGAGTCTCATCTCAAGTTGAAGCACGAGGCCCTCACACCACACAAGGCAGGAGGCGTCAGGAGGGCCAAGCCAGATGTGCCTGCCCCTCCCTTCTGAGGCCCAGACCTGAGAGCGCAGGCCTTGAAGCACGTGGAGCCACCGGGCTGCCTCCACGCCCCTCCCGCCAAATGTAGTCCAGGCCCAGCTGGGCCCGCGCAGGGATCCCCAGCACGGCCACCTGACTGAGTGCTGGGCGTGCTGCGGCCTGCTGCTGGTGCCTCCGCCGCCGGCGCTGCGGCCAGAGGAAGGCGCCCGCTGAGCACACGGGCTCTGGGAGCGCACTGCGGCCATTATCCGCGGCGCCTCCTAGTGGGTCAATAGCAAATCCTCCTAGTTCTCGCGAGAGCTCCCCCTCAGTGGGGATTATATAATTTCCCCTAGGCGGGGTTAGGGGTGCTGGGGGCACTCACCCCTAGGAAAAGTTGGGTGCAAGCATAGGGAGGAGTAAGTAAGTCGTCCTTGGGGGGCAGGAGGGGAAGGGGTACTGTCCCCCACTGCCCCCCCCTACTTAGCTGGACAATGAGTCCTCTTATGCTAATGATGTACTTACGTCACTTCCGCTCTTTCTCGGCCGCCATTTTGGCTAGGGCAGGTTCGGGGACTCGGTCCGAGGC